AAACCATATGCATGTGTCTAAGTCTTATATTTTGAAAAAAAAAGTCATATCAGTACTCAACTAATGTAACTGATCTCCAGCATCTGAACAAGATATATTTTGTGGGCGGAAGGAGTAGCTTCATGTATCACGGATGAATCGGACACAATTTTAGATATGGGTGCACCAACTTACATAATTATTATAAATTACCATAAATATAATAATGTACGATAAAATGTAAAATTGGTTACATGTACGTCATGATATATAAATAATGCAGCTTTTTTTCTCTGCTCAAGAGTTTTTTTTTCTTTTACATATATGGGCCCTTGCCTTTGTACTTTTTGGGTGATCCAGGGACCATCGGAACCACCCTCTAGATACTACACCTATGATCATATACTTTCCGTAACACTATAAGAAAAACAAAGATATGATCATAAATTATTCGTTGGCATTTGAAATATACCATCACTTACAATATAACATATATGCTACAAATGAAAATAATGTACATATGGCCTGCAGAGTGTTAGGCCGGGCTAGCTAGCTTCACCCTCATGAATTCCAAATTAATGACAATTGCATATGCTCGGTGGAGTTAAGAGTATTGATTATGCATGTACACACGCCTCACCACACCACACCATTAGGGCACCCACAATGGTTATCTATAAGCTATCTACAAGAGATCCATGTCAGCATATTTTCCTACTTGGAAGATATTAAATGAAGAGAGAGAGCAAAGCTATCTACTAGCTTAGAGATAGTCTATAGAGAAAAACGAGGCAATGCATGAGAGAGCTATAGATACCTATGTAGACATACTATTGAGGTGGTTTACTATTAATCTAGTCTATTGCTGAGATGTACATGTTTTATAGAGAGCACCCTACTTTACCATTGCGGGTGCTCTTAGAGCAGGTACAATAGGCAGGTTATAAGCCGGCTATAAACATATTTTAAGAAGATAAAAGAGAACAGAGGAGCAGTGGACTGCAAATTTATAGCCAGTTACAACACGGACTCCAAAACACGGTGTGAGTATGACAGGTGGGATAAAATATTAATAGTGTAGTATATGTTTATAGGTAACTATTGTATGAATTGGCTATTAAATTGACTATAGATTATTTGGAGCTAGTAGTTAGCTATACTAGTATTAAACTTGCTATTAGTAATTTGCCTGCAACCAGTTAAATTGATAAATTCTGCTGTGTATATAGTATATAAATTTGTATAAGTGCCACGTGTTTTAAATTGATTTCTTTTTGGCACTGGTTGACTGTACATATATACTTTCGATTCATGGGCACGTGTATTGGCTTACTTTCCTTTACTTTAAAGTCGTGTGATCACAGCAACATAACAATAGAATGCATGTGATGCGTACACTTGCATACTGCATGTGTTGTACATGCGTATATATGCACGCTAAGTTATGCAAGTCTATGGTGTGATCACTATACAAAAAGGTTTTTGACAATACCTGAGTTTTAATTCTTCAAGCGGACTAAAAACTCCCGCTTTTAAGAATCGATTTTTTCACATGTGAGATTCTTAGGGTGGTGGTTGTCTGCGAAAATCGATTTTCATATATATAGGCGAATTAACGTTCGCCTATAAGAATCGATGATTTTTATAGCGTTCGACTGTGTGCAAAAGCATGTTTCGGTAGTAGTGGATGCACGTACCTAAATTGGAGATTTGCTCCAGTTCAGCAAAAAGTATCTCGAGATACCAAATCGTTTCCGATCGTTGAATCGTTTCCGATCATTCAACGATCGGAAACGATTTGATATCGTAAGATACAGGTACCTCGATATATTTTTTGTTAGACCGGAGCAAATCTCCCTAAATTGTACCTAGATGATATATCAGTCGAGCATTCTCGAATGAGTCATTAAGTTTATCTATCGCCCTCATCCCTCATAAATTGCATACTATAATACATAAGTGGAAAAATAGAAAATAATAGAGAGGCATTCCACAAAATGTGTAGGATGTGGTCCCATGATGGATCATTCCCATCCTATAAACTTTGAATCTCTAAAAATCAAACGGCCGGCCATAAAGCTACGTACTCTCCTCGATCAAAGTCGAGCCCCAACTGACTATACTACTCCTGGTTTTTAATGGTAATTTAACCTGTTAATTTTTTTAATATGTGTTTAGTACGTTATTCATCTTATTAAAGATTTTATTTAAATATGAAAAAATATAAGTCGTACTAAAAGTTATTTTTAATGATCAAACAAAACTACAACAAAACAAAAATAATTATGTAATTTTTGAAGGAGACAACTAATCAAACATCTGTTTAAAAGTTAACTTACGGTATCAAACTTAAAAAAAAGAAGAAAGTATCAGTATTAATTATTAATTAGTGCATATTAATTATATAAAAAAGAAGAAAGTAACAATTGGTACTTCCTCCGTACTCGTAAAGGAAATCGTTTAGGACAGCAACACAGTCTCCAAAACACAACTTTGACTTCTTATTTCTATAAAAATATTTATTGAAAAGTGATATATGTATACTTTTATGAAAGTATTTTTCAAGACCAATCTATTCATATAATTTTTATATTTTCAAACTCAATAACTTGAGAGTTATTCGTGATTTATATTCCCAAGGTTTGATTTAAACATTGTCCTAAACGACTTCCTTTACGAGTATGGAGGGAGTATGTTGGTATATGCTGCCATAACTGTGATCGATGTGCCTGACTTTCAAACGTCTCCTCGTGTTGGCTGTGGCTACAAATACTCCATCCGTTTTAAAATGTTTGATACCGTTGACTTTTTAGCACGTGTTTGACCGTTCGTCTTATTCAAACACGTGCTAAAAAGTTAACGGTATCAAATATTTTGAAACGGAGGGAGTACGTAGGAGTACGAGGTTAATGCAAAACCACGTGTTGCCGGTGAGCTTACCAAAGTTGAACCAAAGCGCATATGCATGTTGTATAGATATAAATATATGTTAAAGCAAAAGTATGATTGTGCCACGTGTGTATTGTACGGAAAATACAAATAGCTTTCTCACATTTTAGCTACAGGAGAGATTTTTCTGTCTCTCTTATAGCAGATACTACTTCCGTAGAAAAAAAAAATCTTCCTACCATTTAAATTTTATCCTTAAAAAATTGTGTTTCAGGCAAGGTGGAACCCAACTAATTAATATAAGGTGAACTAATTGTTTGAACTTTCTTTTTAACTAGTGGGTCCAAAATATGTATAAACAGTATAGATATGTGCATGCTCATTTGTGCTAGCTGAATCACTAGAAACAACACTTAATAGCAGCATGGCGCACGGTCATTTCTCATTTGTGTTGAATGCTACCTCTGTCTGAAATTTGCTAGAAAGACATTTTTTGGGGGGATGGAGGTAGTACATAATCAAAATTTTCCCAATAATTTTGTGTGTAAATGCCACAACATGCTCTAGATGTATGGTTTTTTAGTACTACATCTTCTAATAATTAAAGTGTACAAATAATATGATGCAAATTTCATGTAGAGAATAAATAAATTAGCTGAATGCAGCATGCATCCAGCTAGTAGGACCAGTGCTGTTTCCAAACTCCCTACAAGGTAGCATGGCTTCGATCTCCTTCAAACTGATTGAAAAGCAGCTAGTGCCATTACTAGTAAGGGAGAGATTTTCCTTCCACTTGAGTAATGTCCAACCGAATTGATAGATTACCTAGATAGACACTAGGCGAAGATGTGATGGTTGCTTCCACCCAATTCACATCAATATAATTACCACTTGCATTTGCACAACCTTTCCAAATTCTACCTTCTTCCATTTTGAAGGTAAAAATAATAATTTAATCATATATTCTTTCTTAGCTGACAGAAAGAAAAAATTCTCCACAAACCTTTTGTGCTGGCGCTAGAATTTGATAAAAATGCCCGGGGTGTTTTATGGCCACACAGTAAATTATATTGAAACTAGAACACATCATGGAGAAACAATTACTGAAAAGAGAGATGAGCATCAAATCGACAAGGCCATGTCATTTCGAAAGATATGGGACCAAAGATATCGAGATGAAGATAGAAAGAAAAGGAGAAAAAGGAAGAATGTCCAACGGATGAACAGTAATGTATATGCTGAGTGCTGGCCTAGCATTGGAAAGATAATAACATGGAAATTCAGCTCTGGTGCCTTCTGTCTGGCACCTCGATCGGATGGTTGTGTAATTACATGGATTTATTATTATTATTATATGTATATATATATATATATATGGATGTTCCACTTATACATATATATTACCTCACGCAAAGGATAAAAGGATCGATGCTTAACTGCTTTTGATGATTCAATTCAATATAAAAGCTAGTGCGTGGCAGAGTGTCATGATATACATTTTCATATATGATGATGACGATGCACTTGGAGTATAAAAATATCTTAATTTGTAGCAATTCATTATAGTTGGTAAGGAAAACACTAGTAGTGTGGTGTGAAGTCGTAGGTGCATGACTCCATTCACTAGGGTTCAAATCCGGTCTAGTGTCCACGAATATTACGTAGATGCAGGTGAACTTTCAACAGGATTTTAGTGAGATCGGTGATATATATGTCGCATGTGTAGTGGTGTGTGTGTTTATGCGTCTGCCGTGTAATCTAAAATAAAAAAATATAGTTTGTAGGAAAATTGAGGATGTGTATGAATTGACTCGATCAGCTGGCATGCATGGCAACATATATATGGCTGGAAGTAAGTCAAGATATTTCTTCTAACGGTAGATTAGATAGATCATAGATCAAGGGAGCTAGCTAGCTATAGCTATAAAAGTAGATCGAGTGGAACGAAGTCACACTCCCAATTTAGTTAAGTGCACCAGTAATCCAGCCTGCTAGTGCCAAAGGCAACCACATCAATTTTATCTTTGGCAAAGGAAAGAAAAGGAGGAAAGACAAAGAGGATGATCTAATAGGGTGAGCCCTCTATCTATCCCAAAAACAACCGAAAATGAATGTGAAATTGTGAATCAGAGCAAGCCAGAGAGGAAAAGCTATCTCCTCCTCCTTTCTTGCTTTGCTCTGAAACATCAACGTACACATATACTGCAAGAGAGCTACTAGCTAGAACGCATTATATATGCAGCAGCAGCAGCAGTAGCAGAGAAGAAGAAGATGAGAAGAATCTTGCAAGCTCGCTTTATTATATAAGGCCGGCTATCTTCCTTGTCTCTCTCAACAAACATATATCACGCTGCTACTTACTAACACTGAAACCTCAGCTAAGATAATTAACTTAGCTAGTTGTCTCAGGATTATATTCAGCAGATCAGAAAGCAAGTTAATTAGTTAGTACTGTAATAAGTTGCTGCTGCCATGGATGGCAAGAAGCCATATGTGATCGCCATCATCATACAGGTGATCTACACGGGGTTGTATGTTGTTTCCAAGGCGGCCTTCGATCAGGGGATGAACACCTTCGTCTTCATCTTCTATCGTCAGGCTGCTGCCACTCTTCTCTTGCTGCCTCTCGCCATTATTCTCGAAAGGTAAATTGAAGAAGTAGCTAACTGTGCATGTCTCTGTATTGTTGGAATTGTTGTTGATGAAATTAAGGTAAAATTAATTTGAATGTTTCATATATATATGCATGCATGGATATGCAGGAGAAATGCGCCAGCCATGTCGCTTCGGCTGTTTACCAAGCTTTTCATGTATGCTCTGCTCGGGTAAGACTAAGACACCACTGTACGCATAACCTAGCTAGCTACTTTTCATTTACGTAAATATGTCGATCGGTATGAACTAATCATCATCAAATATATAAATTGACATGACTGAACTAACTGATTAGCTTGGCTGCAGGAACACAATAACCATGAACATGTACAACGTAAGTCTCAAGTACACCTCGGCGACGGTTGCATCTGCCACCAGCAACTCTGTGCCCGTCGTCACCTTCTTCTTGGCTGTCCTACTAAGGTATAATCTTTCAATCCATAATTAACACTGAACGACGACTGAACTAGTTAATCATTCATATGAGTTTGTTCAGTTAGGGACAGTAACTAATATACATATTGCATGCATGTCAACGGTTATGCTGTCTTTTGCCAACTTTAGATGGAGATTCAGAAATAGAATTCAATAATTTTGTGGTCTTTTCTTGTGTCCTACATAATTCTATTCTATTATCTATAAAAAAAATTGTGGGGGGTTGCAGGCTTGAAGTGATCCGGCTGAGGACCTTGTCTGGCGTGGCGAAGGCGGCGGGCGTGGCGCTGTGCCTCGCCGGCGTGCTCGTCATCGCGCTCTACGCCGGGCCGGCGATCAGCCCGTTGAACCACCACCGCGCCTTGAGCGGCGGCGTCCATGGAGCAGAGAGCAGCGTGGGGACGGGGACGAGGGCGAGGTGGATGAAGGGGACGTTCCTGATGCTGCTATCCAACACGACATGGTCGCTGTGGATCGTGCTCCAGGCGTCGCTGCTCAAGGAGTACCCCAACAAGCTGCTCGCCACGCTCATCCAGTGCGCGCTCAGCACGCTCCAGTCGCTGCTGCTGGCGGCGGCGGTGGTGCGGGCCGACCCGGCGGCGTGGCGGCTGCGCCTCGACGCCGGCCTCCTCGCCGTCGCCTACACGGGCTTCGTCGTCACCGGCGTCTCCTTCTACCTCCAGGCGTGGTGCATCGAGAAGAAGGGCCCCGTGTTCCTGGCCATGTCCAACCCGCTCTGCTTCGTCTTCACCATCTTCTGCTCCTCCTTCTTCCTCGCCGAGATCGTCCACCTCGGCAGCATCGTCGGCGGCGTCCTGCTCGTCGCCGGCCTCTACAGCGTGCTCTGGGGTAAGAGCAAGGAGCACAACATCAATATGCAGCTCACGCTCGCCGCCGCCGCTTCTACCGAACAAGTGAAACAGCGGCAAGAGGAAGATCACAAGATGGAGATCGCCGGCGGCGACGAGCAGGAGGAGATCAAGCAGCAGCAGCAGGGGAAAATGGCGGCGTCGCCGGAGCAACAAGTGTAGCTAGCTTTTGTACCTAATAAATGACATAATTAATTAGCTAGAACCTAATAAGTTGTTAGTGTTGATAACCGAGAGATATACCTCGTGTCAATCTAAAGACGATATGATTAATTAAGGGAGTATTTAGATCACAGTCGTATCAAAATTCAAAAAAAAAAACTAGTCACATTTCTCTCGTCCCTTGGGTGATAATCTAATAGGCAATTTTCCCATCTTTTTAAAAAATGATATCTTAAGGTATCACATTAAAATTTGGTATCTCTACTAAAACACCTCCAGGTACCAAATTTTAATATCTACAAAATAAACTTTTAAGGATTGTAATTGTTCGCATCACTCCTTTATTAGTTATTTTTAACAAAGTTCCTTCTTTGGATCAAATGTTGAACAACAAATTATTCCAACCTACAGTAAATTATAACTCATAAAAAATTACAAAATCAGAAATATCAAACATAGATTAAAAAAGTAAAACCGTATATAATAGAATAATTATAGTTAAAATGGACTAAATTTACGCGTTGCATAGCACAGTAATTTTAAGCTTCGCAATGTGCAAGTTTACATAACTCAAAATTTATTTTCAGAGCCTGAAATCTATCAAATCCCTATAACTAATACTACATCCTAATTAACAGGTATTCAGACCTCTTTATACTTTATTATTTTGTGAGAATACTTCTCAATAATACTTATAACTTTTATAAGGACTAGAATAAAATTTGTTGACTAACTTTTATATTATGTATTTTTCGCCGGGTTGGCAACGAAGAAGTGCCCCAAATAATTTTATTGACTGAGAGAAGATAAATATTTTTAATAAACATAGTTGTTGAGCTTACATTTTCTAACTTTTTGGTGAAATTTATTAATTGTTGTGCATGATATGTACATGGAAAACTTGTGTGGATAAGACATGTTCCCATGTATGTATGCTATATATACCTCTCAAAAGAAAATGAAAGTAATGCTCCACACTAAGTGGTTTGAATTCTGGCCCTCATTATTTGCAGGTTGAATGCGAATCAAACTCATGGGCATCATCTTTTCACTTATGCTTATGCTTATCAGCCAAAATTTAAATTTTTAACCTTAAATTCGGAGCTGATTTTGTGGTTTTTTCATCAAAGTTTATTTTTCAGCCTTTGCTTTTAGATCGCTAAAAACACGTATATAAAAGTTTTATTCACAAATTACTTTTCGTTTGCAAATATGCAGTTTCGCTTATTCCGTAAATAAGCGAAACGATGGCTCCGTATATATCATTTCTTGGACCAAATGGATCAAATGAAGGCCCAATTAACATGGACACCAATTTCAATGATGGGCCGTGAAAGTAAGCCTGAAACATGCATGTACAAGCTAGCATTAATTAATGAAAAAAGGTCCAGGCCAAATTGCATTAAGGCCTCTCAACCACAAAACCACATATAAAGCTTCCTTAAAATCAGTACAAATCGAATCCAAGAGCCGTTTGAATGGTGATTGTTTACATGCAATGTGCCCCGGTTCCCTCATCCCCTCCACCGTTATGCCTTGTTCAGGCCTTGTTCGTTTAATCCCATAGAGGAGGGATTGAAGGAGATTATTCTCTCTCAATCCCCTTCAATCCCTTTTAATCCCTTCCAAACCAAATAAGATCTTAAGGAATAGAAGGGGTAGACAGAGAAGAAGGAAAAAGAGAGGTAAAGGGTGAGAGAGGTGCCGAGCTCATTATTTTTCATTACTTTTGTCTAACTGAATGTGGATCTATATATTGAGTTTTTTAATTTTAGTTTTTCTTCTAATATTATGTAAGCGCTATATGGATGAATACCAAATCAACATACCACGCAGATGCAACGCGGCATGAAATGCTTGATGAACTTGATTTGCACTAATTTTGATAACAAAAGATGCTCCATACCCGATTTTACAATTGAGAGACACGAATAAAATTCAACATAGTTGAGTGGGACATAAAGTGGACTTTTCCTTGGTGGCTTGACCTGACCCATCGTACATATATTACCTATGTACTAAATATATGATACAATTGATTTTATTCGGTTTTTATCACTATTTTTATTAGGAATATAACAGTAATATCTAATAATTTATTTTAAGAAAACATATTGTCTAGTAGTTCAAAGAAGCGTGTGCATGGAAAAAGGTTCGTTCAAACAAACGCACCCTAAAGTTTGAAATGTTAATTCGGTGATGCGTATTCACACTTTGAACTAACCTAGAACTCCGGAATCCTGGATACAAAACCAAGGAGTGAACATTAGAGTAGTACAAAGATATTCTTTGTTATTGACGGATATACATAGGTAGTCCATTAAGCAAGCGTTAACTCTGACAGATCGATAATCAGCTACTAGTCTCCAGCTAATCAGCTAGCTAGCACATGACGGGTTAATTAATTTGTTAATTAACAGGAGATGTACATGTACAATGTGTTCTTTTATGACTCCAACAAAAAGCATCTCGCATCACTATATTTATATTGATAATAAATTTTTGGTTCTCGATATATAATTCTAACCTATTGCTGAGGTATAAAAAATTAATACTCCCTCTGCACAATATATGTACTCCCTTCGTTTTCATATTATGAGTAAATCCATTATTTATCTTAAATCAAATATTTTTAACTTTGACTAAGTTATAAAAAATGTACTAATACAAATACAACATTAAATTAGTTTGGTTAAAAACATGTTAAGTATGTCATTTTTTTTATAGATTGGTCCATGAAGGGAATACTTATAGGGTGTACTTCTTTGTATCTTTTTGAGCACCTTATACTCTACTCCCTCCGTCCCCTAATATAAGGGGGATTTTAACACTTTGCTTATACTATTTGACCATTTGTCTTATTAAAAAAATTTGGAATTATTTATTTTATTTGTGGCTTATGTTATTATCCAAAGTACTTTAAGCACAACTTTTCGTTTTCTATATTTACACAAATTTTTTAAATAAGACGACTTGTCAAACAGCGCAAGTAAAATATCAAAATATCTTATATTATGGGATGGAGAGAGTAAATATATACTCCTCCGTCCACAAAGATTTAATTATTTCTAGCAATTCTTAGATGAATTAGTAGTGGGCGTGATGCATCTTATTATTAATTTTTGGTTATATTTAGTTCGGTCCAAATTAATTAAATGCATATATCTTAGTTGGTTGTAACCCCTATAATAAGATCTTCGATCGTGGGACAAATTTTAAACATTAGAAATGAAGCCTTCCACGGGACGGAGGATTCGATCGATCACGAGATGTCGATTAATTGAAAATTACATGTATGATTGGTCGTCATTTCTATCCTAACAACTTGATTATTTTTCTTATTTTATTTCTTTTATTATTTTGGAAAATGCTCATTAGCTGATATATATGCTGACTCGTTAAGAGCATGCATTAATTTGCTGATGATTGTATAATACTAGTATACTATACTACAGTAGTTGTACAAGATACTGATACATTTGCTGGCTTAATTGGCCGACTTAGCTGCGTTCGTTAGAATGGGTTAGGAAACATTATATTTCTTCTAGCATGCAAAACGAAATGACAAATTAACATGTGACTACTTATATATTGACTAAAATAAAGAAAATAGATTAATATGTTTTTAAGGCAACTTTCCTATAGTTTTCTTTATAAAAAAATATACAATTTAACAGTTTGGGAAGCATGCATGTGGAAAACAAGTCAGTGATAGTGAACACAACTTAAGCTTTGTTTTACTTTCTAAGGCGTATTAGCTTTTTATACAGTCTTTTAACATCATACTTTGATCATTAATTTATTTTATAATATATTACAAATTAATATATATATATATATATATATATAATATTTTTAGTACGCTAAAAATACTATATGTATGATACTACATATATTTCATAGTTCAATTAATTATCAAAAAATTTAAATAATGACTTTACGGACGATAAGATGTCTAGGATAGTACTACCTCCATTTTTTTAATGTATAATGTCATTGGCTTTTTAATCAACATTTGATCATTCGTCTTATTCAAAATTTGTGTGCAAATATAAAAATATTTAAATCATGCTTAAGAATACTTGATAAATTAAGTCACTAAAATAAATGATAATTACATATAACTTTTTTGATGAATGGTCAAACGTATCTCAAAAATCAACAGCGTCATACATTAAAAAGACGGAGGAAGTATATTTTAGAACAAACAGAGTATATATACTCTCTCCGTCCCTAAATATTTGATACCGTTAACTTTTTTAAATATGTTTGATTGTTCGTCTTATTCAAAAACCTTTGTGAAATATGTAAAACTATATTGTATGCATGAAAGTATATTTAACAATGAATCAAATGATAGGAAAAGAATTAATAATTACTTAAATTTTTTGAATAAGACGAATGGTCAAACATATTTAAAAAAGTCAACAACGTCAAACATTTAGGAACAGAGAGAGTATTATAATAAGCAGATGGAGACTGGACCCCTGGCGTCAGAAAGTTAATAAATCCCAATCGATCAATGTACATGCATATATGATTCAGAGTCCAAATGCACACATGATCAATCAATTAATAGATTAGGTAGGTACGGTGATTCAGAGTCCACAATACACAATAGCTAGAGAGGTGAGTACTGAGAAGCATCCTTGTGCTCTCTTTCTTCTTTGTGTCTTTGTTTCTTTTCTTTTTTCCAAAGTGAGCATGTATAGAGACAGCAGACTGCTTGCTGACTAAAGCAATATATCAAGTCGCTAATTACAATCAAGACGCAGATCAGAAGTGAGTAAGATGGAGGAGAAGAAGCCATACGTAATAGCGATGCTGATACAAGTGATTTACGCGGGTATGTTCGTGGTCACCAAGGCCGCCTTCGATGAGGGGATGAACACCTTCGTCTTCATCTTCTATCGCCAGGCTGCTGCCACTCTTCTCTTGCTTCCTCTCGCTCTTCTTCTCGAGAGGTAACTAATTAATTGATTAATTATTTTAACCATGCATGCATGCGTTACTTAATTGCATCTCAAGCTGTTCATTGATCTGAATGTATGGTGTTGTATGTGTAGGAAAAACGCGCGATCGATGTCCTTGATGTTGCTCATCAAGCTCTTCTTCTGCGCCTTCATCGGGTACAAATTAATTAGCAATATACACGTACATGGCATGCGTCTTGAGA